GAGAAGATTTTCATTGGATGAGCGCCGTGCTGGACGCGCATGGGCTTTGCTGCCGCAATGATTTCCTATGAGAGGAAATTCATTGGCGGACAGCGGGGAAAACAGTCAGCAGACCCGATGACAGCGCGGGAGGTGTCGACGATCAGTGACATAGCGCTACAAAGAAGGTAAGTAAAGGGGTATTTAGAATAGAATTTAAAAGTTAAAAGTGGGGTTCAGAGGGGCACTGAGTAGTGAGGTATAGAAAAGGGATGTTAAATCAGGTAGTTTAGTGGTGCCTAGAGTGGTCCTTTAAATGAGAGAGTGGGAGGCAAGAATTTAGCTTAATATAAGATTAAATGTTTGCCTTTCGAGCTCCTAGAACTCAGTTTTAATTAACTACCCTGTTTGTCTTGGATTTTCCAAAATATAGGGCTCAAGTCTGTAAGGGTAACATCAGATTGGGACTCTTCAATTTTATACCAGATCTCATCCTTAGAATTTCTTAGTTAAGTAATAAATGTGTGTGAGATATTGCAGGCTTTTTGATACTCTTTTAAAAATGGACTCCCAACCCTCCCAAATTAACTTTTAAAGCTAGGCGAGTGGATTTTATTCTTGAGGATTTTCCCAACCGAACATATTTGTTAAAGGATCACTATATTGTCAGGAACACAAATATGTCTTCGTGGCCCTATAGTGAAAAGCCACCATTTAGGTGGCTTGCACCCCCCTTAATCCCCTCAGAATGGATTAAAACTCACCTTATTTTCACCTCTCTAAGGGTCTGCTGGCTCTGGCCTGCCCCCTTGGTGACATCATCAAAATTGAAGATTATTAGCCAATCCAATGCTTTCACATAGTGAAAGCATTGGATTGGCTAAAATCAGCAATGGGGCGGGGCCAAACACTGTTTTGGCCAATCAGCACCTCCACAGAGAAATGCATTGAATCAATGCATCTCTATGAGGAAAATTCAGCGTCCCCATGCAGAGCGTGGGGACACTGAACAGCAGGGCTGCCTACTGTGCGGCCCTGAGCCAGTAAGCCCCTCCAGTGGCCATCTGAGGAGTGGCCACTTGGAGTTATCCCTATGGGCAATGTAAACACTGCCTTTACTCTGAAAAGGCAGTGATTAAATGAAAATGCCTGAAGGGAGCTATTATACTCACCAGAACAACTACATTAAGCTGAAGTTGTTCTGCTAACTATAGTGTCCCTTTAATATAAGATTGTGCTAGCGACACCCAGTACTCTGGACAAGGTAACGGAACCACACGGAAGAGATATATCCACTTTGGAAGAATATAAGATTTTATTGTATTTATTCGTCCCCACCATGATATTTCTAGATTTTTCTATTAATTTATTTTTTTACATGTGTGTTTAAGTAATGCTAAAAACTTAAGTTCCTTTATTTTACTGAGATCATTAGCTATTTTGATCCCTAGATAATTGAATGATTCCTCTACAAAGCCACAACCAAACTCAGTTCCTCTCTTAAGTTCAATCTGACCAAGTTGGGGTACCCAGCTCATCACTTTGACTGTAATTGAGCTTAGGGTTTATCATTATTCTTCCAATCAATATGTTGTTATATTATATTTTCTCTCTCTCTCTATTCTACACCCCAAAAAAATATTAACTTCCCTTTTCCCCACAATGCCCCAAAATATTCCTCGAAGTGGTACTGGTTTCTCCTCTCTGGCTGTGTCTGACAGAGGTGGGGCAATGCTTGCTACCTCTGCCAGCTAACAATAGGCCATTTGTTTTAAATCCTGTAACAGGGAATGGAATTGGGAATCAAATAAGCATCCAGCTATGCAGACTTATTTATGGCCTATTGGGAGGAGACATACATCTGTCAGGACCATGGCTGGAGTGAGAATTTAGTGTCATATTGTCATATTGTCGGTTAATATATGATATATGTTTTATCTGGAAAGGCTAACGTACCATATTTGAATCTTACTATATCTCAAAACCAATGACTGGGGAATTAAGCTCACATCGACTATCAGTAGTGAAATTTGACGTTTAATATAAAGAAACATGCAACTTGTTAACACTTGTTGAGCCAATCATAATATTTCCACTAAAATAGACACAGCAAACAGATAAAAGTGAACAATGCACAAATCCAAAATGTGGATAATACAATAAATGCACAACAACCAATCTGGTGAGGTCATGCATAACATCCATGGTGTGAGATAAAATAATAGTGGGTATACCCCCACTAAATTCTGGAATACAGGTCTCTGAAGAAATGAGAGAGACACAAACACTCTCATAGTGCAACACAATAGTTTTTATAATAGTATAAATATAATTTATTTCTCCAAATGTCACACTCATTTTATTGAGCCTGTTATGGTAACTGATTAAGGTAATACAGCTCTGAGTGTGATATATATGCTTCACCCAGGATAGATATTGGGTTGGTCCTCGACTTTCAGTGCTGAGAAAATTAATTTTCTAGATCTTTTTTTACAAGATGAAGAATTACTTTAAACCAATGGATACAAACAGCCATATTGATATTAATCATATTAATGTGCTTGGGTACAACCTGTATTGTCATGATGGAATGCACCTAAATGGTCTGCTGTGCTGGGGGATAGGATGGCTATAAGGTTGGAGGAGATTTTAAACTAGCAGTAGGGGGGAGGGTCAAAGCAATCTAGAAAATTGAGATAGGATAGAAATGAGATGGTCTTTAGCTCAGCATGAGGGTGGTGGAGATGGGGGGAGGGGAGAGTTCAGAACAGAGGAGGTATGTAGTATTGATGAAAATTCAAAAAAAGTACAAATGACTCATGCAAATATTAAATGTATGCTTACTAATGCAAGGAGCCTAAATAACAAAATGGGGGAACTAAAGACAATAGCATAAACTAAACACTATGATAAAATAGGCATAACAGAAACATGGTGGGATGAGACACATGACTGGGCAGTTAACTTAAATGGGTACATGTTATTTAGGAAGGATAGGAAAAACAAGAAGGGTGGTGGGGTATGTTTGTATGTCAATCATGAGTTAAAGTCAAATCTTAGGCATGTGGAGTGTGACGAGGAAAATGTGGAAGCTTTATGGGTAGATATCTGCTTGGGGCAAATGAAGGGAAATAAATTATTGGTTGAAATAGGTTATAAACCACCTAATGTAAATATTAATGAGCAAGATCAGCCGTTAGAGCAAATTTGGAAAGCTGCAAATCGGGGTAACACATTAATTATTGGAGATTTTAATTACACAGACATGAATTGGGATAGAGTGACTAGTACTTCAGCAAGGGGAATCAGGTTTTTAATGTGTTAAATGACACCTTTATGTCACAACTGGTACAAGCACCAACTAGAAAGGATGCTTGTCTCGATCTTGTTATAACAAACAATGTTGATGTTTTGACCAACATTCAAGTAGGGGCGTATTTGGGAAATAGTGATCACAATATGGTAATTTTTTAAATAAACTCAAAAAAGCAAAAGCACTAAGGATATACTAAAACATATAATTTTAAAAAAGCCAATTTCAATAAGATTAGGGCAGTTCTACAACATATCGACTGGCATAAACTTCTAAGTGAAAAAAACACTGAGGATAAACGGAAACTATTCAAACTAATATTAGAAAGGTACATTTCTCAGTATGTATCATTGGGTAATAAATGTAAAAGAAACAAAGTGAAACCAAAATGTGGCTTAGTAGAGAAGTAAAACAAGATTAAAAATAAGAAAAGGGCTTTTAAAGCATTTAAATTGGACAAATCAGAGGCATCCTATATAAGATATGGGAAAGCCAATAATACTTGCAAAAAGGCAATTCAAGTGGCTAAACTACAAAAGGAGAAATTGATATCCAAATAATGCAAAACCAACCCCCAATTTTTTTTCAAGTACATCAGTTCTAAAAAACAAACAAAATGAAAGTGTAGGTACCCTGGAAACAGAGATGGGTCTGTTAGCTAAAGAAGACCAGGAAAAGGCAGAAATTTTAAATAACTACTTTTCTTCAGTATATATTAATGAGCATCCTATGGCAAGAGATATGCAAATGTTTGCCGAAAAAAAACTTGCAGATAACTTGTGATTGGATGACTCAAGTGGGGAAATAAGTGAACCTCTGTATTTAATTTTTCAAGATTCTTTTGTTTCAGGTATTGTATGGGAGGATTGGAGGAAGGCAGATGTTGTTCCTATATTCAAAAAGGGTTTAAAATCCTTGCCTGGAAATTATAGACCTGTGAGATTAACTTCTGTGACTGGGAAAATATTTGAAGGACTATTAAGGGAATAATATTCAGGAATTCATTGGGAAGAACTTTGTTATTAGCAAAAATCAGCATGGTTTTATGAAACATAGGTCATGTCAAACTAACCTAATTACATTCCACGAACAAGTAAGTAGAAATATAGATCATGGTGTTGCAGTGGATGTGATCTACTTGGATTTTGCCAAGGCATTTGATACGGTTCCTCACAATAGGTTAGTCTTCAAACTAAAGGAAATTGGTCTAGATTAATATTCTTGATCTTGGGTAGAACACTGGCTTAAGGATAGAGAACAACAAGTTGTCATTAATGGTACATTTTAAGGCTGGACAAAAGTGGTAAGTGATGTCCCTCCGGGTTCTGTTTTGGGACAGCTTCTATTCAACATATTTATAAATGATCTTGAAATAGGCATTGAAAGCCATGTATCAGTGTTTGCAGATGACACAAAACTGTAATGTAAAGTAATAAAATGTGAGCAGGATATTGCTTTGCTGCAAATGGATTTGGATAGATTGGGGAACTGGGCACTAAAATGGCAGATGAAATTTAACATAGAGAAATACAAGGTTATGCACTTCGGGGTCAAGAATGCACAAGCAACTTACACCCTAAATGCTAGTGATTTAGGGGTAACTACACACGAGAAGGATTTAGGAATTGTTATAGACAACAAATTAAGTAGCAATATGCAATGTCAATCTTCAGTTGCTAAGGCCAGTAAGGTTTTGTCATGTATAAATAGGGGCATACATACTCGGGATGAACAAATAATTTAGCTTCTTTATAAATTTCTGGTAAGAACACACGTTGAATATGCTGTGCAATTTTGGGCACCTGTTCTAAAGAAAGATATCATGGCACTAGAAAAAGTGCCGATCCGAGCATTTTAGTTCCGAATTTTTTTTTTTTTTATCTCTTTAGTTTGGAAAAACGGCGCCTGAGAGGGCATATGATAACATTATACAAATTATTTGGGTCAGTACAAAGCATTATCTGGAAATCTATTCATAAACAGGACTATACATAGGGCACAAGGTCACACATTTAGGCAGGAAGAAAGGAGATTTCATCTAAGGCAAAGAAAAGGTTTTTTTTTACAGTAAGAGCAATAAGGATATGGAATTATCTGCCTGAAGAGGTGAACTTATCAGAGTCCATAAAGATGTTTAAACTGCAATTGGATAAATAGTTGCAAAAATATAACATACAGGGATATAATTTCTAATTAGTGGGGTAATAGCTGCTTGATCCAAGGAGACATCTGACTGCTATTTTAGGGTCAATAGCGAATTTCTTCCTAGTTTGTTGCAAAATTGGAATCACTTCAGACTAGGTTTTTTGCCTTCTTTTGGATCCACAGCAAAAACATATGTGAGGAAGGCTGAACATGATGGACGCAAATCTCTTTTCAGCTATGTAACTATGTAATATTTTTTAACTTTTAAGAATCACAGGATGTAAAAAACACAGTAATTATATTGAATTTAAAATGTTTATTAAAAGTATATATATATGTAAGTGTATATGTTAGG